AAATACTTTATGTGAATTGAAACATCTTTTATTTCGAATTTTAAAAATCGCACGCCAAGTTTTGTAACAAAATAAATTGTCTTCCACGGTTTAAATAAAGGTAATTTATTTGTCAGTTCTATATCATATGTATCTGTTGTCTATAATAGTCATTGTAATAATTTATTATTGTTAATAAAGCCTGAAGAGGTTAGCACACCAGTCGACGAAACGTCGCTTAAACTAAGTATTTTTATTTGCCCCAGAAGACCAACGAAATAAACTTATATAAATGTGTATATTCTATGAAACGATGTACAAAAATATATTTTGGATTAAATATGTAACAATCAACAAAAAATGACTTTCATGGATGGTCTAGGTGGTACAGGTAAGACATTTTTGTGTGAAATTTAAGTATATCATCTTAATTAAACTGAAAAAAGGTTTTGCCTGTTGGTATTGACAGATATTGCCTTTACATGACTCCGTAAGAAAATGACAAGCTGATAAATTTCTGAATTACTATAAGAATCAGACAATGGTGAAAGTAGATTTTTAAGACAATTCAAAAAAATAGTTTATAGTTGATTAAATTATATAGGGTGAATCCTGAATGATCCCACACAAAGAATTATAAACAGTAGATAATACTTAACGAGACTTTGAGAGGGTTAGAGAAAAAAACCAATTTCTTACTACAGTCTTCAAAAAATGTTAATATGCTTGTTTTCATCATGTTACCAACATATTCAAATTTTAGAAACCGTAGTGCCACAGTTTAAAAAAAAAAGCAAAGTTAGGATCTTATACAAAGGCTCTTATAAGAAGATTGTCGTGACATCCACATTTTATAAATAACTAGGAAAATAGTTTTACAAATCCTCTAAAGAAGCAGTATGTTATTGTTGATGACAATTATAATAATACATCTAAATTGAAGGAAGACTGACACCATGGTTTGAGAAATACTTGAATTAAAAGTTTAAACTAAGTGCCATTCGTATATCTATATACAGCAGCGGCCACGGTAGCACAGTGGTAAAGGCTGTAGTTCTTGTAGCTCGGGGGCTTGTTAACACATGCTCACGAGTTCGAGACTCGGCCTTCACTCACTTGGTTCGCACCTCTGAGAAACTTATTTCTTAAGTGCGTATTACCAACTGTGGCCAAATGGTTCGGGAGCCATGTAAAATAAGGTCCTCTTTGCCATGTAAGTGATTGATGTCACAATTAAATCTGAGGCGGTTTTTTACTATGCCAATGACGATAGCATGTAAATGCATAGTAACACAGCAGAAGAGCGGCGTTGGCTCAGTGGTAAGCGTGCTTGCTACTGATACAACGCTGTTCTAGGGGTCGTGGGTTCGATTCCCGGTGAGTCCAGATTTTTTCAAAAACTGTTTTCACCGGAAAAAGTTCCTATGTAACCCCGGCTGTTTCGGGGCGGGTTTTTCCGTGGAATTTTCCTTCAGAGTAATTCCAGGGTTCTTCCCTTGCTCCACAGGTCTTTGGGCCTGGGTGAATGCGAAACAGTGTTAGGGCCTAATAGGTAGGGATTAGTGGGCCTGATGCCAGGCAGGGATCGCCGGCCTTACCGGCGAGGAGTGACCCCTGAAACATGGGGCTTCTCCGGGGATGCTAATTAGCCTGGTTTCGATGCTTCGGACCCAGGCTACACAGTGGCGAGTTGACCCAATGCACTTCCTCCCGGTGCAGAGAGTGTCAGCTTAACTGACAAGGTGTCTTACACCGGAGATACTTCCACTGTGCCCATGGTATGATTTGTATGGTATCAATTAAAAGAGAAGATTTAATGGGTGTGGCAATACACCCCCACACATAGGTGGTGAGTGGGTGGCCCCGGCGACTGGGCCAATAGGCTGTCGCGGTAACCCGATATAAAAAAAAAAAAAAATTA